CCCCAAAACCCCAAAACCCCAAAACCCCTAAACATTAACCAAATATTGTAATTTCTCCCAATAGATTAAAACCATTTCTCTTCTTCTGCTTCCTTAAACCCTCCACAAAAGCTCCAAACCCTAATCTCTTCCTTAAAGCCCAACTTCAAAGAGTAAATTTATTTTGAATAATAGATTTGTCTCTTAGCCAGCCCGCACTGGCTAAGTTTATTCTGGAGAGAGGGAATCTTTGCGAGGCCATAACCTGACAAGTGAAGAAACATCAGGTTCTTCAGGAAAGAAGCCGATTTTGATAATCTATTCACCAGGATTGCGAGCCCATCGCGATTATTAGAAGATGCAGTAAGGTAGAGAATCCGACACTTATTTAGTCTCAGCACTTTGAGTGTACTTTCATTCAGAGCATAAGTGAAATCAGGAATACCTTTTATAAGAGAATTTTGCATTTAGAAAACACAACAGTTCTCTTATTTTGATTCGCTGAAATTAGCCTCATAAATTGTTTCTTGCTAATCTGTAAATTGTAGAAGCAGCTTTCTGTTTGTATTTTATGGCTGATACTCATGATCTCTTTCATAAACCTCTTTCAATCCTTAAAAGGCAGTCTTTGAGTTCTAATATCTAATTTATCAAGCTTTTGAGGAAAGCAATTCAAAATAAAATGCTTCATACTTTTTAAATTTTGGTAGTTTATATTCTCGAAAGTTATAGATTTAACTTCAGGAAGAGTCACAGGTTTCCAGCTCTTTAGCAAGTCAATAATTTGCTTATCACTGAGATCTAATAGTAGATTATCATCTCTTGTTATGAGTTTATCTTTCATATCTAGATATTTCTGGTAAGCATGAGAACTTATGATACTATCAACATGCTCCATCTCATTGTGATGTTTCTTTTCTTCAGTGATATGGCTTTCTAAGCTTCTTTTGTAATGGTTATTTTTATCTAATATTAAGTCATTTTCTTGGTATTTTTGCAAAAGATTAATGGCAACCTGTCAAGTCTCATCTAGCTTTTTGTCTAAGGAACAATCATCTCCATTAGAGAAAAGATCTTTCAAAGAAAGCAATTCCTTCAAAGAAGTCAAGCTATCTAATATTTGCTTAACCCTTTCAACAAATGATCTCTGAGCTCAATCTGCATAAAGCCCAAGTACTCTTGCTTCTCTACACACCGCAAGACTTATATCCTCACCAAAATCTCCACTAATACAATCTTTCTCATCTAATCTCCTCATCTCATACCTATTCCCTACTTTCTCGACCTTCATCTTCCCAGACGCCCATTCACTCTGCCCTTTCCTAAAAATCTCCATTTTATTATTTAAAATTCCTCAATGTCTTCTTCAAAACCCGGGGTTTTGGGGTTTTGGGGTTTTGGGG